CGTGGCGCCGTATCCATATCTCTTCTTTATTAATATCTCCGTCTGACTATTCATTGCCACCACAACGCTTCTCACCCCACGCAGCTTACCACAGTTCCGCAATCAAGGGCGACAGTCATGATTAATGGCTGATCCTCAAATGCCGCCACGCCACTTGACCCCTCCCATCTTCACAGCATGTATCCTGTTTATTTCTGGCCCTTCTTGTTTCACTTGCTTTTAGAGCACCACTGAACGACCAGTGATGTTGCTGCATGCTGTGTTCCGTGACACGAGAAGTACTGGCCGCAAACTACAGACATTTGTCTTCAAGTGTGTCTTTGTGTAATGTTTAGAACTTAAAAGCACTTTGCGTTGTTAATGCAGTTTGACCTATTGAAAGTGATCAGAGAGAAAGGGGAACAAATCTATGAAGGCATAGTAAAGTAATTCACGGGAGAAGCGAGGGACATTTTCCTTGGGGGGGGGGGAAGTNTAGAAAGTTCCACGGCTTCGCCCTCGTGTCCTTCTAAAGGAGTGGTAAGAAGCAGCTTACGGCAAAGACACATGGATTTTGATTTTCGCATTAATTTATAATGAAGTACATACGATAAGGGACCAACCACATTACATTAAGAATTCAGTGTCTGTTGAAAACATAACACATATTCTGTTCAATGACAGAATTATTGAACAGATAAGCAGTGGTGGTTGTTCTGGGAACAACCACTGAGTTATAGAATGTTAAAGCGAGTGGTTCACATATTTACCACAATGCTATTAATGCTTAATAAAAACACTAATATGATGGTATGAAACTGACACCTTGGTGTCAAGTCTCAGTCATAAGCGCTTGTCGCTTGTTAGTTTCACACTCCGTCCATGTTTCCTTCCCAGAGACAGGTAGAGACATGTTCTGCTCATTTCACACAAGGCTGAATGAGATTGAGACCAGTTTGGGCCTGATATGTGGCCATCCGCAAACATATTACTAGACTGTGGGTCACGAATATTAAGGAGCACCGCTCTGAGATAGATTAGTCGCGAGACCGGTAATGGACTCTACGATAGAAAACTGATTTCCGGCAGGGGTAGGATTTTCCTCTTCATCACCACCGGATTTTGAATCAATGCAGTTTCATATTCATTTAATGTTGGAGACTGTATTTCTACGAGGCTAAAACGACCGAAACTTAAAGCTTGTCATCTACTGCCGAGGTCATAAATTAATAGCTTTTTGCTTCTCGCTGTTACTGTACGCCTTCATGGTGTAATGTTTAGTCACAGAACATAATTTTCTGTAGTAGCGCCTCAAGCCAATCACAGTGGCCGCGCTGTCTGAGGCACGTAATATCTTCACCCGCTCGAGAGCTGGGATAGTGGGTTCGAATCCCACTCAAGGCATGGATGTTTTTCTAAGTTTATTCTGTATTTATGTTTTCCTGTGTCTGTAGCGGCCTTGCGACGGGCTTATCCCTCATCCAAGGAGTCCTGCGGACTGTCGTAAGAATAAGAAACTGAAATGAAACGAAGCCTTTCAGAAATGCCCAATGTTCGAAATGGGAGCAACAGGAATAAACTAGACAGATATATAGGTGGAGAAATAGACAGACAGACAGAGCAGCGCCTCAAACCATAATTAGGATGAATGTAGCTTCATGTACGAATTTTTGGGATCCCATGAAAGGCGATATTCTAGAATAAGCAGCAGCAACGTCATGCCGAGAGAGATTAATAATTTAAACTTGCCTGCAACCGAAATATCAGAGCTCCGAATTCTATTGATCTATGAATTAAGTAGAATCGACGCCAGCTGCGTGAAGGCGAAATAGGAACTGTTTCGCCCCAGTCATTTCGAGGGTTCATTTAAGAATCTTGCCGCTCACTGGACACAGTGATGCCTGCACCGCAGGAATACAAAAGTAGTGATGACATAGGCTTGTTCCCATTTGGAGTACGTACGAGTATTCTCTTTTATCAGAGCGTTTTTCTGTTTACACGGCACGATTCGTCTTGAGAGTCCTTGTATTTCAGATAGAAGCAAATCATTACGCAGTCTTACCATTCATATAGGTCTTTAGGTGTGTATGTCACCTTTCACAGAATTACTTTTCTTGTATTTTGTTTAATATTTAACACATCGAAACCTGCTTCATATAAACTTGTGAGCTGTTTCTCTGCCTCTTCTCATGTACTATCCGAAAGACCGGAAACCCCCATCATCTCCTAAACAGTTTTAGGTGTCATGCTCCGTAGATGGACGGGATGTCCATCGTTGTCCGTTGCTACACTACCAGTGTAGCCTAACTGCCTACCACCAAGATATTCTTGTGTTTATTATCTATATGATTAGTGCACTGTACACCCGCCAGTGTTTTGAGGTGGAGTATAGATGACTATGTGGTGATGATACTCGTAATATTAACATTGTATTACCACTGCCATCAGGTAAAACCCCATTTGAAGTCAAATAATTATAATAATAACGATAACTCTGCCCCAGTGCGAATAATCGTAAGATATTTTGGTGTTTCCAAATCACTTTCAGAACCATAACACGTACGTAAGTAGTGACGGGTTATCACAGATTCCGTCAAGGACAAGGGCACTGGTATGAGAACAGGCACTGCCACCGGCACGGGCATTGTAACTGATATGGACACTGGCTTTAGCGCCTTCATTCGTAGTGGTACTGGAACAGGAAATGCCACTGGCACGGGCATTGCCACTTGTATGGACACTGGCTCTAGTGCCTGCACTGGTAGTGGTACTGGAACAGGAACTGCCACTGGCACGGGCATTGGCACTTGTATGGACACTGGCTCTAGTGCCTGCACTCGTAGTGGTACTGGAACAGGAACTGCCACTGGCACGGGCATTGGCACTTGTATGGACAATGGCTCTAGCGCCTGCACTGGTAGTGGTACTGGAACAGGAACTGCCACTGGCACGGGCATTGTCAATTGTATGGACACTGGCTCTAGTGCCTGCACTGGTAGTGGTACGGGAACGAGCACTGGCATGGGCACTGGCCCTAGCACCGGGGCTGAAACTGACCGAAACTGCGATCGCTCCTTCAGCTGATCTGTGTTGCCTTAGCGTCTTGTCCCGACAGTGGCATTCAGAGAGATATTTACGATTTCTTCTACTTTCCTAGCCCTATTTGAGGGGGAAAGGGATCAGGCGAGTAGGCAAGTGCAAAGGGTGCAGTATATATAACAATTTCAAGACATTACTTAAGAACCAGTTTCCGTTTTCTCCCACTAAGTTAGGTACTCAATTTCCATAGGATGTTTCACACATCACCAATTGTTTTGTTCATACCGATTTTTGAAGTTAAGCGGATAACTTTGGTACTCATATAAATAGTGTAGCCTTCTTCTGTATGATAACCCGCCAACATGGAACTATGATTCGAGTGGGTCCGGATCGCTGTGTTGTCACGCCACGCAAGGAGGAAAAAGAAAATCTTGTCCGCTATTACAGTGGCCAAATGATTGACTCCGGCTGGCGTCCGAAAACGAATTGACGAATGTGGCAACAGAGCAAATAAGTGACGCAAAATACCCACTTCGAAATTCCTTTAGTAGTTTACGTGTGGCCGACACGGTCCAGCCCCATTCACAAGCCGACTTACGCTTCGCCTGTTAGCGCGAATTGCGGGGAATACATAAAGAAACATTAGCACAGCCGGTATAGCAACTAGTTGCCGGCTGGACGACCACGAGTTCGGAGTTTGAGTCCCGGTAATGTCAAGAATTTTTAGTTTTCCATATCATCCAGACCGGCTCTGGGGCCCATCCAGCTTCCTATCTAATTAATACAAGGGGCTCTTTCCCCAGGGGTAGGGCTGACCACTCACCTCCAAGTAGTGCCGAGTTTAAGAAAGCATCTACTGCTCCATACGTCTTTATGGCGTAGTGCTTAATTACTTAAGCGCGGGGACAACTTTGCCTATTACCACTTAAGAAGCTTATGACAAAACACAAACAAAATTTTATAATCTCACACTCAGGTACACCGTTTCTTTCTGAAGGCCCACAGATTATGTAATTGGTAATACCATAGTTTGATTTGATGCCTGTATCTTAGCCACAAAACATGAAAACTGCGAGTGCCGTCTTAATGCAACGAGGCTCTGCTTGTAGCCATTTGTTACTGGCTTCCTGCTTTGCTTACTCTTCAACTACAGAGAAGGAGGAAGTACGTTCAACTGAAACGTCCGTGAATGTCTGTCAAACTCTACGTCATTACATCCCAGAAGACAAATTTTCGTAACCACCGCTGTAAGAACCTCAAAACCAATAAAAAGGACAATAGTTCCGCAAGTCCGTGCTATAGCTCAGGCGGTTAGTCGCCGGCTTCCCACCGGGGCGGCCTGGGTTCGAACCCAGGCAAGGTCATGTGGGATTTGTGGTGGTCCAAGTGGCAGTGGGACAGGTTTTCTCCGAGTACTTCGGTTTCTCAGGATAATTTTTATTCCACCGACTGCTCCACATTCGTTATCATCAATCGTCCGGTGCTGGTACAGTAGGCCAGAAGTGGCTGCGTAGCAAATGGACTCAATCTCGCCCCACACCAAGAAACTGAAGAAAATAATATTTCCGCAACGTCTGCTTCTGGCTCCCGGGCACACACAAAACAGCGAACTGGCACTGGGGTGCGTGCAGATTACGAGATTGCCAAGTTATGGGAAGGGGAAACATAACTCCCTTCCGCTAATTAACTCGTTTACATGATCTGTTAGATTAGGGCTTAAACCGAAATGACATGTCTGGCCACTCACATCCACCTGTATTTACTTTTATTGGCTTAGATGGGGTGAACAGCCACCCTACCCCTGCAAAATCTGACACCCCGCCTTTTAACACATCGCGGTAAATCCCGTTTATAAATATCTGTACGGTGAAAGCTGAGATAGAGTGTGTGTCGTGTTTTGAAGGTTTAAATAGTTGCGACAGATAGGCAGTCTCGTGTTGTTGCCAGGTAACAAGATACTGTAATTGATCCGTTTGTTACAGGAGTAGGTGTGTACATCTCGAGGGTGGAGGAGGGCAGCGTGGCGGAACGCGTAGGGCTGCGACCTGGCGATACGATTCTCGAAGTCAACGGAACGCCTTTCTCTACCATCTCCCACGAGGAAGCACTGAAGGTAAGTTTCAACAGTTCTTTAATTGTAGTTCCACGCTGCACTGCATAACTGCCACGAATGCTTAGCGTTAGAGGCTTCTGTCAGACAGAGCAGAAGTTGATGTTAGGTCTTCCGGTATGTGGCGCCGTGTTATAATTTGGTAGGTATATATCGACGTTTCGGAGGAAAGCGGCTGCCACCATTTTCACGTCGCCTACCTACCAAACTGAAGAGCTCACATCCCAGACACTATGGCCTCAGTATTCACCGCTGTGAAAACTTAGATTGTCAGCCACAGACGCAAATCACAAGCAAGCATTCACATAAGATTGTCAGCTAAGCCGGAGGAGCAGATCAGACTGCTGGGAAGCTTCCGGGATAATTGTGAGGGATTCAGTTGACACGGTAATAATACGAATTCGTAATTAGTTTATTGCCGGTCACGGTGGCCGAGCGGTCTAAGGCATGTACTGTCTTCGCTCGCTTGGAAACCGGGATCGTGAGTTCGAATCCCACTCCGGGTTTGGATGTTTAGTTTGTGTGCGTGCGTTTTTCTGTGTTTGTATACAGGTAGAGGCCTTGCGACGAGCTGATCACCCGCCCAAGGAGTCCTACCGAATGTGTAAGATCTAGAAAAACCGAAGTGAACGGAGAAGTTCATGGATGTAGGTCTAGGCCCACTGGGCCTGTAGTGCCAAGGAAAAATAATAGTTTATTACACTGTTTCTCACAGAGGTGAGAAAATATTCCGACCGCAGGTGATTCGTGTAGTATAAATCCATTCTTGCTGCCAATTTATTGACGGGTCGGTACGTTTGTTACTACAATTTATTATGCTTACTGAAATGTCAACGATTTGCTCTCAAAAACACATAACATTCTACATGAGTTAGCTCCACCTTTTTAAATCTTGCACTCTGCCGTTTTCTTTTTGCCCTTGCTACAACTACAGGAGGCCCAATATGCATGTTTTTTTAAGTCAACGTCATTTTCGATTTTTGACCTTCCTCGAAAATGTTCGTTTATTGTAGTACAAATTTGCCGTTTCCAAACTAATGGAAATACCAGCATCAAACTGTGTGAAGACAAGATTATCTGTATTTTGTTAATTAGACCTGTTCGCAATATCGATAAACGGTAATCTTAAATTAAATCTTTATTTCAAGTTTACGAGATCAATCTCATGGCAATTAAGTTCCATATTATTGTCTTCTAAATTACGACAAGGTGCAGCCTCGTAGTTATTTATAAAAAAGTCAATATTTGGATTAAAGAGAGGTCATACAAGAAGCTGGGGAAAATTGCATAATGAGGAGATTTGTATTTTTTACTCTGAATCAAATATTATTAGGATAATTAGATCAAGGAGGACGAGACGGGGATTATATTTCGCAAAATATAATTAAATATCAAATTATTTTTCTGAGCTAAAACTCATAGAACTACTGAAAGCCGCAGTCAAACAACAACTTTGTTAGTTCAAAAGGTCACACGTTTCAGCGACAATCATACGTCATCACACTTTCAATAGAGTTTATGGAGAGGACATACTGGATGTTCTTAAATATGGGCTAATATAGTTTTATATTTTTTAATTATAAACGGCAATATAATCGTATAATAATGTATATTATGACTGATTGTATAAAATATAAAATCGACGTGACGTCAATTCCGAGCGCGAGTTTTACAGAGTGAGCATTTTCCTGTAATAAAATTAGCCTAACATCGAATATAAATTATATTGTCACGTGTTAGAGTGACTGTAGATGAGGGTTGGATTGATAATTGGACTTACCGACCACTTATACACCTAACTCGCAACTATAAATGACTGTAACGGCCTTACTGGTTTACACACTCTAAGGATCACTGTAACTGCAACATACATAAAGTCCTCTGTGTCTTCACTAGCTGTTTACTGGTAACGGATCCTAACAGTCTCCTCTGTTAACATCCATCGTTACTTTACGACTGGCTGTTTGCCGCAATCAGTTGATTTTGGCGGCAAGCCCCTTGAGGCTCATGACCAGCATTTTTCAACTGAATGCTTGCTTTCATAACCTTTATGTAACATCCTCTCTGACGAGAGGATGGGCTGGCTGCTGGCCCTCGCCAGCACAATCATTCTCAGGTCCGACTCTCGCGGGATTCGTGACCATATTTTACTGTCTAAAATTTGAGACTCCCCCCAATTTGGAGGACCAGGTCTCCGCATTTAAACCCCTCAGGAACAGGGTGACCCAGCTATGACCCCAGGCACTGGGTCCCTTTCCGTCGCCTCCTACGACTCACAGGGCTATGATGGAGGTATTCGAGCACGCTTCCACGCGGGACTCACTAAGTCTGAGTCTTACGTGTATGTTAGATCGACGTTTAGTCGGCCAGCCTCTCTTGGAATAAAGCACCCATCTGTGGCTCACGACCAGACTTTCATTACTGTCAGACAGTTACGAGGACGGGTCTGTCGTTTAGAATTATTGCTGGTCCTCGTCAGCGCAGTCATTCTCATGTCCGAGTCCCATGGGATTCGTGACCATATTATACTGTCTGAGATTCGAGACTTCCTTTTTTCGTCGCCTCCTTCTACTCGCAAGGCTACGGTGGAGGTATTCGACTCCTCCTCCACACAGGATGCTCTCTCCTCAGGAGTCACTGTTCCAGCTGTCACTTTTGTAACACCTCGGCAAGGATCGCGTAGAATACATCGCTACTCATTGCTGCAGTTCAATCGTTACCATGGGATCATGTGTTTTTGCGAAGCCGTTACTCTGTAACGGCTTTTATATATTTGCTTATCTCATGGCCGTTGCCCAGAAACGGTCCTACTTGCTACAGTATATTGCATAAATATCGAATATACATTATGCACTTGTTAAGCTGAAGTGACTACATGAGCAACCTGAGTGAGGAGACCCAACAGCCATATAGATATTCGAATCGAATACCTGCCGAAGGTAAGACACTACTGAAGCGGTGATTCGTCGCAATGCCCAACTTACGCGAGAGAGTGGTACAGTGGTTTCGGCTGACCAACAAGTAGACCCTGGCATGCAGCCAGCGAACCTTGAGCATCTACGGAACTGTCAGACATTATTTATTGACCTTCGAAGGCATACCAACCACTGGAAGGATAATTATATGGTTTCTATATACCAAGTCAGTACATGTCGACGCCCTGGTGTAATAACTGACATCTATGTCAATCTGGCCAGCTGCGTCACAGGCAGTTGTATCCAATCATTGAAGAAGAAGAAGAATGATTGAAAACGTGACTTAAATGTGTACATCGGAGCTGAAATGGTATTTAAGCTTTCATATCTCCATAGTAGTTGGAGCTGAATGGCCAGTTAAAGTTTTGACGGCTACACTTAGGATAAATCTCTGGTATAAAGAGTATTATCATCTAGAACAAGGGTATCCAAACTACGACCCGCGGGCCACATGCGGCCCGCGATATGATTTTATCCGGCCCGCGAAAGAATTATGCAGAAATGCGCCAATTGAACTAATTTTCCCATGAGTACTGGTAAATGTGATTCCGAGCTTATTGACCTGAAATATTATACTGCAGATGGATGGCTTAGTTGTAGAAAGGTTCTTTCGCGCTTCTTTCAGCTCAGGAATGAAATTGATATATTTCTTACCGAGAAAAACCATCACGAACCACTTTTTTTCAGACACCGAGTGGCTTTGGAAATTAGCAGTTTTGCTGATCTGGTGAACCATATGAACTATTTGAATTTAAAGTTGCAGGGTGAAAATAACCTAGTCTGTGATTTATTTGCACTTATCAAGGCATTCAGAGCAAAGTTGATACTTCTGGAAAGCCAAGTGAAAAATTGTAACTTTGTTCATATGCTATACTGTGCAGAGTTGCATAAAGAGGGTGAAGCAGAATTTCATTCCTTGTTTGCAAATTTAGTCATTTTAGATTTGAAAGAACAATTTCGGAAGCGATTTGCTGATTTGGATTCCAGTGCCCAGGAGATTAGATTGTTTCAAAATCCGTTTGACTGTGATGCTGCAGATGTCCCAAGTCAAATTCAAATGGAAATTATTGAACTTCAGGAAAATGATCACATTAAAGACAAATACAAGGAAGGAAATTTGATGGAATTTTATAAATTTCTGAACTCTGAGCAATTTCCAAATTTAAAGAAATTTGCTTGTAAATTTATCTCCATTTTTGGGACGACATATCTGTGTGAACAAACTTTTTCCCAGATGAAGTACATCAAGTCGAAATACAGGGCAAATTTATCCGATGAACATTTAAAGTCGCTACTTGTGATTAGGGTTTCAAAATTTGAAACTCAATTTAATCAGATTCTAAGAATGCAAAAAGAGTTCCATCATTCACATTAATTGTTTTATTATAATTTGTGATGAAAATATAAACATTTGCTGCTAGTGTCTGTTGTCATTAATATACGATAATTTATTCTCATGTACTTTGTATTTAGTTTATGAAATTCTGTGCTTTCAGTAAAACTCATATACCTAGAGTTATTAATTTCTCATTTTATCCGGCCCGTTGAAAGTGCTGAATTACCTAATGTGGCCCGCGGTTCGAAAAGTTTGGAGACCCCTGATCTAGAATATAGTGCCGTGTAGTACGGCAGAATTTCACTGACTTTCGGAAGGAACATACTGAATCAACCACACATCGGTGAACTTCTACCAGACTACATGACGTTAACACTCAGATGCTACTATCTTCGGCAAGTAGCCAGTTCGAATTTCTACACGGCTGTTGGATAACCTAAATCAGGTTGCTCATGTAGTCACTTCAGTTTAATAAGTGGATAATGTATACATTCGATATTTATGTAATATACTGTGGCAAGTAGGTCCGTTTCTGGGCAAGGACCACGAGATAAGCAACTGCATAAGAGCCGTTAGTGAGTAACGGCTTCGCAAAAACATATATTCCCTTAGCAATGATTGAACTGCAACAATGAGGAACAGTGTGTCCTTACGCGAGCCGTGTCAAGGAGTTAAAAACTGGACTCCTGAGG